TCTATTGATTACATGAATAATGTATGTAGAGATCTAAACGATAGTTTATATAAATCCAAACTTAAACGTATACTCGTGAACTTAAATTATGAGAATGAAAGAAGTAGAGAACTGATAACAACAAATTTATAATCATCGTGAATTCAATGTAGGCTAATCCGTCCATGCGGATACCATCTTCATTAGTTTTGAGTAGTTATCAAATAAAGATTTCTGATTTATAGTGGAGATATGTATTTTTCAGAAATTTCAACTTCCATAAACTATATATGTTATCTCATAAGTTAGAAAATATCTAAATTTTAACATAATAACACACTTGTATAAATTAAATTCCCATAGTTCGTCGTAAGCTTTTTCGACCTATCCAACAATTCAATGGTTCTACCAGCTTTTTCATATATTTTACCACCTTATCAATAACAACGTTTTGGCATCTTGATAACATTCATAAACAGTTTTAAACTTTGTCTTTCTTTCAGAAAAAAAAAACTATTGTAGAGTAGAAATGGAAACGTTTTGATTTTTGAATGTTTTAGAAAGATTTTGAACACTGGTAAAAAAATATTTTTGAGGATAAAACCAATCTAATATATTCATAAAAGAAAAATATCCAGAAATTTTTGAGGAAAAAACAGAATTTAATTTGAAGTTTTTAAAAATTATTTTATTTTCGTGGAATTAATTTAATTGATTTATTTTTCTTCCATTATGAAATTGTCTTTTTTTTTTCTTTAATATTAAGCGTTTTGATACTAATAGTTTAAGGTTTATGCTAGGATTTGTTTTGTCACTACTGAAATCTCTAAAATTTATATCTTATCTTTTCAGAGTTAAGAGTGTAATAGATAATTTAATAGTTGGAATTATATATCAATTGACATGAAACTTTATAAGTTGTTTACATGTCGTTTTAAATTGCTCCTCATTTTCCAATTTTAAATATTAATATGGAGCAGAATGTGACACATCTTCCTCCAGTGGTCACATATAAATGCAAAACATTATTATTATATACCGGCTTCGCATATGTAAATACGTCTCATATAATATAGCTAGGGGATAATGCACCAAACAATTATTCGATAAAGATGATAAAGTAATCATAGAGTAGTTCGATGGAAAATACGAGTCCAAAAACTTAGAACCTAGAGCCGAGCATCTCTAAATAATAGGTAAGAACATAGACAGATAAGCAGTCTATATTAATTGACATTTTACATATTGGTTGAAGAAATAAGTATAAAATAACCATATATTTTTTAACAACTAGGTAAACATTTGGAAGAAGTGAAGCGATCCAATTTTCTGCATCATAGTTTTTAACTTTTTATTATTCATTTATTATATACTTGAAGTGTTTTGCAAAACAAAATTCTAATTTTTTGATGTAACAACATTATAGATAATTCATATTCATAATTTAATCGCTGATATCAATAACTGAAAGTTCATATTCATGTTTAGATTTGCAGAAGTAACAACAGTATTAAATTGGTTTGAAATGTTCAAACCAACTTTTATTCCAACCAAATAGAAAAAAATCATATAGATCGACCCCACAAACCAAGATTCCAAACCAACATTCCCATCATTGACAGCAAAATAAACTTAATTCATAAAGATATATGTATATATATATATATTATTCATATTATAAACTACTCCGTAATATAGTTTTTGCTGAAAAAAATATAAATCCTCAAAATCATTGCTATGTATATAATTAACCCTCACGCATGTTTCATCTGTTGCTACCAAATAACAAACCAAACAAAAAAAAGTTCCTTTTTTATTTTTTCTCTTCCAAATTAGTCATGGAGAGTTCAATGAACAATGCTTACATTATGAGCAAACAAGAACCGACGACGTTTTCAAGCGACCAAACTCCAGAAGAAAGTAGCTGGACGATGTACTTCGAAGATTTCTTCGAGACTTCTTCAAGTATTGCCGATGTCGGAGATTGCAGCTCTTCCTCTGTCTCCGATGCAATGTCTTTCGTGGCCACTAAGAAGACCATCCACGTGTCTAAACAAGAAGGAATCAATTCTTCTAGCAAACTCGACATCAAGAGGACAAGAAATAGAGATATTTCTTTTGGTCTTCATTATGATCTTGAAGACACTGCCTCTTCTCCTTCTCGTAGCCCTAACGTAACTCTCTCTCTCTCTCTCTCTCTCTCTCTCTCTCTCTCTCTCTCCCTCTCTCTCTCTCTCTCTCTCTAAACTAGTGGTTACCGTCTTATTGATCAAAACCAATGATCGATTTCTGCTATACAAATTGTTCGGGTAAAAGAAATATGACTGCATCGTTGGAAAACTTTAAAAATTAGTTAGCTATGTACATATTATGGAAGTTTGTAAGCATTTTTGTCTAACTTTTCTTGTAAGCATTTTTGTCTAACTTTGAAGTTTGAAATATTTTCCTTCTTTCTTTTGTTTTTAGTTTTTGCAATATATACAATCTATCTAAGTACGTTGCTATAGATTATTTCCTCTTAACATTGGACAAACAGTCGAGTTCGGTAAAATTAAAGGAGATCTGTCATGATTTTGATATTTATAATCTATTAGTCATATGATTTTATATTTTATAGGACATTGGATCGATAAGGTTATAAGACGTTAGTGAGAGGCGAGAACTAAATCTTTCTTATTTTCTTTTAGCCAAGAGAAGCAAGAAATTGATTATACTATGGGGCCGGGTTTGACTCAAAATTGAAATATTTTGAAAATTATAATCCAACAACTTGATGCAACAATCCGTACCAATTTTAAGTTCCTATTTGACAAAGATCAATATAATAATCAGGTTTAACAAGTCAAGCGTAATTTAATTATATTGGTTCATAATTAATCTGTATCAACTACTAAGTATTTGTAACCAGAATTTTTTGTTTTTGTTTTTAAAGTATTTGTGATTTTTTTTTTCGCTTTATAGATATGTAGCATGATGAACTTATTGGACAACAACACGATACACGGAGGTGGCGTTATTGG